TGTATGTTAACTTTTATTTCTAGAGATTCTAGTTAGCAATAAGGTATGTTTGGGGCTTATCTCCATTGTATAGGAAACGCTTACCTCTGAAATTTACCGAGATCTTCCTGCTAAGCAAAACAGAATATCTTGTTTTGCCGAGAAGTGCTGAGGACTGGCGTTGTTTGTGTGCAGCTCTCGATGGTGCTATAGTATGTGGAAAAACACACAAACCCTATTTGGAAATCATTGGTTGTGTAGCAGTAGTGTTAACTGTCTGCTTTAATACGTCAATCCTCGACATCACAGCGTTTATTGCTTAAATCGTGTTTGTACCTTTTATTTGATTTCAGTGGTACAGCCTGTATGCTATGTGAAAACATCTTAAAGTCTCCCCCTTATTTGTATGCTGTTGTTTATGTAACAGCAACTGTTGATTGTCTGCCCTGTTTATTGATCCTCGTAGATTGAATGTGTTGACTACTTTATGCTGGGACTAACTCTCATCATATAACTTTGTTTGAGAGAAAACAACCTGTTGAAATAAATGTTATTGTCTTTTTACCTTGTTCTTATCAAAACTTTGTATGGTTGGGGATGCCCTTACCACCAAACAAAGGTTGAGAAAATTGTCGACTTCTTTACCTTGTTCTGGTAGAAACTATAGATTGGTAGAATGTTCTGGTGAACATCGATCCCTGACCTTCAGGACCATGATGGGCTTGATACATGTGTGTTTTTTTTTATTGTAGCTGTTGAAATGGTTAGCAATTATCATCATCATCATCATCATTCATCCTCCGTAGAGGTGGAGCATACAAAGTTAGCTCGCCACAACTGTCTGTCATACATCACTGAGAAAAGTTCATGTCCCTCCAAGCCAGTTTCAGTTTCAATAAGTTTCTTAACTGTTATGTTTGGGCGTCCAACTCTTCTCTTACAGGTATCAGGGTTCCAGAGTAGAAGCCTACTGGCTGGTTCTTCACTACGTACTACATGACCGGCCAAGCTTAGCCAGCAATTATAAGTCCTGTAATGTATACTCAAATAGTTATTATTTAAAAAAGACAAGTAAACCATTTAGCTTTTTCAGTGCTACATAAATGTGTCACCCAAGAATTGAATTGAAATACCACCTGCATATGCAAGTTAGTGCAAGTAAAATTTTTGTTTTTTTAGAGGTTCTTGTTGGAAAACAGGCAAGTTTGGGGCTTATCTCGGTTGTATAGGAAACGCTTATCTCTGAAATTTACCGAGATCTTCCTGCCAAGTA